CACACGAGTATTCCCGCCGTGCTACCGCCCGTCTGCCCTCTGCCCCAACAAACGGCTGCACCCGCTTGTTTTTTGCATTCTCCATCGCAGCCTCGACGACCCCGCTATTGACGGGCTTTGTAATATCTCCCAGCGTCCAGACACTAAACATGGCCGCGATACAGAATTTTAAGAACTTCCTGCGCCATGGCAAGCAGGCCCGCCAGAACGCGGAGCCCACGACCAATGTCTCCAATGTCCACGCCCAGTCGCAACATCAACGGTACAACCAGCACCCGGACCCCGTACACCATGGCATCTCGGAGCCCGTAATGGACCACAAGCCGCTCCAGAACCACGCGGCCCCCCATGGCGACTACTCCGTCGGCGCTGGCGCTGGCGACAACCGCAACATTGCCGCCCAGGCAGGCGACGCCGCCGCGCACGCCGCCCAAAAGGAGCACAAGAAGCAGGCCGCTGCCAAGGGCGCCGGCGTCGACCCCCAGGTACTCGAGCGCATCGTCGCCGAGGAGCGCGAGGCCAAAGGCAAGCTGCCGAGGTATCCCGGCCTCGAGCGATGGACGCTCCTCGAGAAGATGGGCGACGGCGCCTTCAGCAACGTCTACCGCGCACGAGACACGACCGGCCAATGGGACGAGGTCGCCATCAAGGTCGTCCGCAAGTTCGAGATGAACTCACAGCAGGTTAGTATTACCCCTCCTGCCCTCCTTCCTCCTTGCACATTTCCTAGTCACCCCTATCCTACCCGATGAACAGTTGGGTGTTTTTGGACGTTACCAACGCGAGGCCGGTGTAGGACAAGCATGTGCATCCGGACTTCAAGACGCCCAAAGCAGCCGAGGTGCGATAATATAACCCCCGATGCTCGACTCAGCATCCCCCTTCACGACGGGCTTAAAGGGCAGACACTAACTGCCCTATAGAGAGCGAACATCCTCAAGGAAGTACAGATTATGCGCCAGCTCGACCACCCCAACATCGTCAAGCTCATCGACTTCTCCGAGTCGCGGCAGTACTACTACATCGTGCTTGAGCTGTGCCCTGGCGGTGAGCTGTTCCACCAAATCGTCCGTCTGACGTACTTCTCCGAAGACCTGTCCCGCCACACCATCATCCAGGTGGCCAAGGCCCTGCAATATCTGCACGAGGAGGCAGGTGTTGTCCACCGGTACGTCCTTATCGATGCCAGTCACGATGCCAAGCATAGTTACTGACGTCATTCACAGAGACATCAAGCCTGAGAACCTTCTCTTCTACCCCACACCATTCATCCCCACCCGCAACCCAAAGCCGCGGGGCCCGGACGATGAAGACAAGGCCGACGAGGGCGAGTTCGTCAAGGGCAAGGGCGCCGGTGGTATCGGCCTCATCAAGATTGCCGATTTCGGTCTCAGCAAGGTCATCTGGGATACGCAGACCATGACACCGTGTGGTACTGTCGGTTACACCGCCCCTGAGATTGTCAAAGATGAGCGCTACTCCAAGTCCGTCGACATGTGGGCGCTGGGCTGTGTGCTCTACACGCTGCTCTGCGGTTTCCCTCCGTTCTACGACGAGTCTATTCAGACCCTCACAGAGAAGGTCGCCCGCGGCCAGTACACATTCCTGTCGCCATGGTGGGATGACATCTCCAAGTCTGCACAGGATCTAGTCTCCCACCTGCTGACCGTCGACCCCGAGAAGCGCTACGACATTAACCAGTTCCTGAACCACCCATGGATACGTGAAGCCGATGAGCCTACCTACTCCGCTTACGACGCACCACCGCTCGCCACACCCGCTGCCAAGAAGGAGCGCCTCCAGCCAGACTTCTCCCACCTCGAGTCGCCCGGTGCTCGCCGCATGGACTTCCGTTCGCCTGGTGCCGTCAACCTGCGAGAAGTGTTCGATGTCAGTTACGCTGTGCACCGACAAGAAGAGGAGGGCAAGCGGAAGAAGCAATTCAAGCAGGGCTACCGCGGCGCCAACGCCATGAACTCGCTCAACGCTCTCGACGAAGGTGAAGATGATGACGAGTACGCTGCTGAGTCTGCACCATACGACCCAGCGTCGCAACATCCGCCCGCGAAGCTGCCCAAGTCCCAAGGTGCCGATGTATCCGGCATGGAGCAGAAGATGCGCAACACCACACTATCTGCCGCCGCCCAAGCTCGCCAGCAACAACAAGCACAGCCGCGACAGCAAGAACGAGGCTACGGCCAACACTCCCCAGCTGTTGCGGCCGCGGCTAAGCGCCAAGTCAGGAACAAGGGTGCATTTGAGCTCAACATGGACAGCTCGACATTACTCGGCCGCCGCAACAAGAAGGGCCCCGAGCCCAGCGGCCTGAGGAACAACATCTCCGTCCAATGACAATCCTCGCTCGCGAAGGATTGGTGAAACGATGATGAGTCTCGTGTCATGATGGCGTTTTTGCGTTTCCTTAATCACTCTTTCCTGCCCTCCCCCGGTTCTCTCTACGATTTTTGGTTATATCATGTATGCGAGCTTTGTCTGTGTTTCTCCTCTCATGGCATGGCTTTACGGTCTCTTGTCTGTCCCTCGGGATGACGGACATGGAGATGGGAGAAGAGAGGGTTTAGGCATAGTTATGAAGCTTTTGGCATGGCGATGGATGGATGATAGTTACATGCGATGTGGCATGGTTGTCCATGTAGCATGAATGATAATGTTTGAAAACGATGACAATTCCCATGATTCAGTGATAGATTGCGTGATTGAAGTTGTCGTCTTGTTCGACATGGCGACGATGCAGATGTTTAGCGAATAAAGGTGCGATACTCTCGAAATCGGTTCGATTGTAGAGGTCTACTACGCATACGAGACCGCAGCCTGACAAAGACATGATGTCGTCACGAGCTCGAGAGTTTGGGCATTACTACCTTTGCTGTATACAATGATATTTAACAGTTCTCCCACCTCGTTCCTAAACCTGAATAGACATCAACTAGCGTGTTTTATTGCCCGTAGAAGTTCACTAATTCTTGTGTATCTGTCGCGCTCAGTAGTAAGATCATGTTAGTCGTGACTTCTATAACTAGGCAATACTCTATCTTCGCTGCTCAAACGTCTTAAAAAGGAATGAAAACCTGACAAGGTTAACACCACTAAGATGTACATTAGCAATCTTGGACTCCGAGCGTACAGCCTATTGTCAGCGATCAGCGTGGCATTTCACCCCCGCACAGTGGAGTACAACCCATGAGAGTAAAGCAGTGTCAGACAATAGCTCGCGATGACAATCAGATGGAATTATCAGAAAAAGACGGTCTAAACTACTACACAGGACAATGAACGCGAAACCATATACGATCACTTCTTCGACTCCGCCTCGAACCAGGCTTGCCATGCCGCCGCTTGTTCCCTCCAGCTCAGTGCGGGTGCGAGAGGCGTATCACCGTAGACTGCTTGTGCTTGTTCCCTCCAACCACCCCCCGCTGCCTTAGCTTCTCTTAATCTCTCTGCTTGAGCTTCCATCAACTGCTCGCTGTCATCCTCGACCTTCTTCTGCTCGTTCTCGCGATCGGTTTCAGCTTGCTTGTATTCTTCAAGCTCCTTCTCCGCCGCTTCCAGCTTTGCCGCGAGGTCTTCATTCTTCTTGTTCGCTTGCGCGAGGTCTCGCTGAGAGCGGATGAGGTTGGTTTTGAGGTAGCGCTCGCGCGCTTCGGCGTTCTCGGCGCGGGTTTGCATTGCAGAGGGTGGGGATGTCATTGTTGAGGGTGATGACGATGATGGCGATGACGCTGATGGTATGTAATCTTGAATGATGGAAGATACCTAGGCATTGGAGAAGGACGTGGTAGCTGTTTGAAAGGAATCTGGAGAGTGAAGTCTTGTTAGGCTCAAGCACTTTACTCAAGACGCTAGAGAATCGAGAGTTCACTCTCACCTTCACCGCGAGTGTTGACGAGGAGACGCAGATGAGGATACCCGCCCAAACCGTGGACGCACCTGCCACACTGACTACGGTCATGAAGAATCCGACTACAAGAGGAAAGTGCGATTGTAGCAGCACTACAACAACAGCGAATTGCTTGTGACACGACACTGCGCTTTCAGCTACGTGATCGTATATTAACTGAACGTAAAAGCTGACGGCGTTATTGATTATCACGCATGTGATGTCTTGTTTAGGAATGAATACCAAAAGCCTATATAACATCATGGGCGCCCCTAACCTCCTGATTCTCTCGCTCTATAACCACTCATAAGCACATTCTTACATGACCAACCATCTAACAACTATGATTTCCCTCATCGACCTGCTCAGTCCTCGGTATGCGCCCATCCAACGCGTTCTCCTCGATCATCTCAATCCGGGTGCCATCGCAAGGCTTACCTGCACCTGCAAGGCCTTCGGCTCTTTGTGGCCGACGCTTGTAGCTTCTGACTACAACATCAACTACAAACTCCAGCATTTCTTCAAAGACCCTCGGGAATTTCGGTCCGTCCAAGGAAAATGCGGCGCTCTGCTGGATGATTACAGCCAGGAGTTCACCACTGATGGCCGCTTAAGCTTCATTGCGCGCTCGAAACTCGAGTGTACGCATTTAAGTGTATGGGTTGAACCCACCCGCATGGCGCCGCTAGTTGATTACCTGGATTCTGAAGGCTTTGCGCATTATGATAGACATCCACAGGAACCGGACCTGAATGAGGGCCTTTACTGTACAAAAAAGTGTGGTGTTGACGGGAAATGGAGGCGCGTGGACCTTCGCATCTGGAACTTCAACCAACTAGAAGTACATATGATTACCCGTCAAGCAACCCATGAGGCGCGCTTTATAACATGGAACAAAGCATATACGATATTTCCCTACGAGACCTTCATCAAAGAGAAGTGTCATCTGACGATGTGCGACGACAAATACCTTTGGCAGTACGTAGTCCTTGTACAAAGGATTGGAAGTCCAGCGTCGTGGGAAGGGTTAGGGTCGTGGTACTGGGCTGACGGAATACTGCACGTGGAAACGGATGGACCAAGTTGTATAACCCGCCGGATGGGGGATTCGCGGACCTGGATACTTGATCTCGACACTACAGGCGTCTCAGCGCCTGAGCAGCCTGATACCATCTATGAATCTTCGACTTTCGAGCTCCGACGAAGTTCTGCACCGTACATATTCACACATAGGAGGGAGTCGTTGGGCCCTAAGGAGTATCCGAGATATGATCTGCTGTATGAGAACCTCAGCCATGCAGTCCTCAAGTACCGGTACCTGATACCACCAGGTACTGGCCCTTCGATAATGAACAAGAAATGCGATGCTATCCTCAAGAAGCTGGATCGATTGACAAAACTTGAGCTGGAGAAGATCCCGGAAGCAGAGCGGCCGTCGGCATATTACGAATTTGAAAGAGGAGAATGTAAAGCTATGCACGTGCGAGATAGGTTCACGCGTGAGGGGTTCACGCTCCCAGCCACATGGACATTCTACGACGAGCAGATTCTGGCGGATTTGAATGATGCATGGGAGAGTCGCGACGAGGTTTGGGTCGAGGATGAGGGTCAGAAGACCGCAGAACGCGAGCATGAAGCGGAGGGAGTGGTCGCGAGCGACGAGAACAACGTCGGTGGTTAGGCGATGCGGCTGGAACTGATGGATGAGGATATTAAGATTCTTGATCGTGAATCGTACGCGATCCTTTGAAGTATCGACGATGTTCACAATCCGTTTGCGCAGTTCCTGTCATCAGATGTTGTGTACCATGTCAGCCTCGCCGTAGTGAAACTCTAAAGCCAGCGTACCTAGATATCGTCAGTCTTCCAACATCAACCGGTAGACCGCGGGGACCCGGTTTCGCGACGATACACAGCTGCTATACGTATGCTGGATGAAGACAGTTTCAGCGAATAGGTGAGACTAGGTAAATGAACTGCTCTTTCCTGATACGAGCTTGACGTCTTACTGGTCTGTGCGAATCGATAATAATAGCCCGTCGAAACGGCGGACACGCGTCGGAGAAAGAACTATGATGTAGTTAGTTTTTTGCAACACGTCTGTTTGAGACATTGTCACTATATAACCTCCGTCACGGCGCGTAGTCAACTGCGCAGTCAACCGTCGCCGCCACCATGGACCCTCTTCTCGCCGCCGCCGAAGCCGCAGCCGCCGCAGACACCACGTCAACCCCGCCGAGCTCCCCGCCCTCCGCCGAGACGCCCCCAGAGAGCCGCCTCTGGGGCATCAGCGACATCCACCTCTCCTTCAAGGGCAATCGCGACGCTCTCGAGAAGCTCCTGCCGCACCCGCACGATGACCTCATACTGTGTGGAGACGTTGGCGAGTCGGCGGAGCATTGTCGGCTCGCCTTCACCAAGGTCAAGGAATGCTTCCGGCAGGTGTTCTGGGTGCCAGGCAATCACGAGCTGTATACGCTGCCCTCGGAGAAAGAGCATGGCGCGAGGGGCGAGGCGAAATACATGGAGTGCGTTGCGATTGCGCGGGAGTACGGCATAATCACACCAGAAGATCCATACACGCTGTGGGAGGGCGAAGGAGGTCCATGTCTCATTGCGCCCATCTTCACGCTATACGACTACAGCTTCCGGCCTAGCCATGTAAAGCTAGAGGATGCGCTCGAGTGGGCGCGAGAGAAAGACATAGAAGCGACCGACGAGCACCTCCTGCATCCCGACCCCTACTCGTCGCGCATCGAATGGTGCAATGCACTTCTCGAGAAGACGGAGAAGAAGCTCGCCGACGCTGTCGCATCGCACCCAGATATCCCCTTGATCATAGTAGGCCACTGGCCGCTGCGCGAAGACCTCGTGAAGCTGTTCCGAGTCGAGCGCTTTTCCCTCTGGTGCGGCACAAAGAAGACCGAGGACTGGCACAACAAGTACAACGCAAAGGTTGTCGTCTCTGGCCATCTACACATCAGGCGAACAGACTGGATAGACAACACGCGCTTTGAAGAGGTCAGCCTGGGCTACCCACGGCAATGGCACGACTGTCAAGAGCGTGGCCTGGACATCAACGACCTGCTGCGCGAGCTAATGCCAGGCCCGGAGACACCACCAAAAGACCGGCGCAATACTGTCTGGAGGCAGTTCGGATGATTGACTGGATTGCGAGATACAATCTAATCTTCGATACCCGAGATCATGCCTTTTGTCCCCGTGACTGCAGGTACGTCCAATCACTCACCACCAATTCCTCACGTTCGGCAGCCCACCAGCATGAATCCACGAATCTAATGCATTTCTCGTTTTGTTCTCCAGACTGCAGCATGTCACATTCACCTCCCCTGCACCTGCCTGATGCGGACTCGGCCTAGTCTCGGCCAAGCACCAATGGCTCGGACGCGATCAGCCACGCGCTTTCTCCTTATTCGCCGGCATGCAACCGTCGTGGTTCCCAATCTAGTCGATCGACATCCTGCGTTGCCTTTCACGCATGTTTGCTCCGGGCGTAGAATATGCAACGTCTGAATCGTCCCGTGCCGGACGCCGATGCGCTGCAGGTACCCCAGCGACAACGTCGGAAACGTTGTTATGCGCCCAAGGGCGCTGGATAAACGGCCAATTGGTGGTAGTATATCAGGGCATGTGCGCTGTTTGTGTGCTCTCCACGGTTCTGCTCGTATCGCGCTTTTGCTAGTCTGTATCGTGAACTTCCCCATTGGGATTGAGAGAGACTTGAGGACTCAGTGAGCACGATATCGGGAAGAGCCGCACGATACTGAACACGCCGAAGACTTCGTATAAAACCACCGCAGCCACCATCTTTTGAAGATCAAGCCAGTCTCCCAGCTCAAAGACATCGTCACTCGCTTGACACACCTCGCCGTTCATTCCTACATCCATTTGCTTTCAGTAAAAGTCAAGATGTTCAACATTGCCGTCCAGCTCCTCGCAGCCGCGAGCGTCGTCCTCGCCTCTCCCGTCAATCTCCAAAGCCGTGCTGTCATCGCCCATGATGCCGTCGTTGGCTTCCCCGAGACCGTTCCATCCGGCATCGTAGGACAGCTCATGCTAAAATACAAGCCCTACCTCAAGGTCGAGAACGGCTGTGTCCCCTTCCCCGCCGTCAACGCCGCAGGTGACACAGGGTAAGTCACCCCTAATCCAGAAAGTGAATCCTTTTAACACCCTCCAGCGGCGGCCTCCAACCCACCGGCGCCTCAAACAGCGGGTGCAGTTCCTCGCCCGGCCAAGTCTACGCCCGCGCCACCGCCCACAACGGCGCCTATGCCATCATGTATTCCTGGTACATGCCCAAAGACAGCCCCGGCCCCGGTCTCGGCCACCGCCACGACTGGGAAAACATCGTCGTCTGGCTGTCCGCCCAGTCCACCACCGCCACCATCCGCGGCGTCGCCATCTCTGCTCACGGCGACTACGACAAGGTTACCAACCCCAGTCTCACTGGTACCAGGCCAAGGATTGGGTATAGGTCCATTTTCCCGGTTAACCACCAGTTGATTGAGACTACGACGCAGGGTGGAGAGCAGCCGTTGATTGCGTGGGACAGCATGACGGCTGCGGCGAGGAGTGCGATTGAGAACACGGATTTCGGAAGTGCGACACCGTCTTTCCGTGACAGCAACTTTGGAAACTACCTTGACGAGGCTTTCATTTGAGGGGTGGTGTAGATAGCAGTACATAACATAGCATCTTATCATGATATTTGCTGAATTGAAACCACCACATGCCTTGTTCAACCATCTAGTGCTCGCATGAGAAACTATTATTCATCTCCTCATCAGCCGTCTGCCACCAGCCCCCTCAACGTTGCAGCATCCGTATCGGTTCACCTTCCAGAAATCAAGCGAGCTTATCTTCAACCAAGTCGAAACAACTGCCGAAGTCCAGATACCATTACAAACTACTTCCATTCGTATAAACAGTCTCTATCCACCGCTACTAGAACCAAAGTCACGCCGAGCCCCACAGCATAGAATACAGAGGGTATACGGGCCGAACACAAGCCCCATCCGTATCAGCAAGCCACACGCATGAACCACCGCCTCACGGCTCAAGCCGAATACCCAGGAGGAGGACCCGCCGGCGCCGTGTACTCCGGCGGCGGAGCCTCACCAGCAGGCGGTGCAAAACCCCCCGTACCCACATTCTGCTGCTGTCCGCCCAGCACCCTCCTAAACGCCTCTTCACGCGCCTGCTGCAGTTGCAACCGCGCATGTTGTAGCTTCGCCTTTGCCTGATCGACCTCGCCCTGCAGCCCCTTCTCCTGCGCCTCACGCTGTCGGATAATCTCCCCGCACTTGTTCCCCGCGCGGTCGACCTGCGCAATAGACTGCTTGACCTGATCGTGCATCTGCATATCGGAGAAGATATTGTCAAACACCACGTCGCTCCATATGCTACCCATGGCGATGTTGAGCTGACCCAGCCCCGGTATCTCAGGCGCAACCTGCTTGACCTGCTGCTGTAGCATGCGCACCTGTTGGATGGAGCTCTCGGCGCGCTCGAGGTAGTTCCGCTTCTGCATGCTGGCCATTGTTCCGCCGCCAAACATGTCGTATTGCGACATGCCGTATGCGCCGTCGAGGTGTTCGCGGGCGGCAGACAGCTTGACAGACGTCTGCCCGAGGAGGAAGAGGATGTGGCGCTCGCGCTCGAGGCGTTGGGTCAGGTCTTGGACGTGCGCGTGCGCGGCATTGCAGGCATCTTCTTTGCGGTCTTCGTCGGGGAATTCGGGCGTGTGGCCTGCGAAGATGGAGTTGTAGAGCGCATCGAGGTCGGCTTGGAGCGCCGTGTGGCGTTGGGCTTGCGATGCGATTTCGTTCTTGCGCGTCTCGGCTTCGGCGCGGAGTTGCTTTGCGTAGGCGAGTTCGTCTTCGGCGCTCTTTTGCTCTTGGATTGCGTCAAAGTACTCTTTCTCTTCTTTGGCGGCTTTCTCGGCGAACTTCTCCTTCTTTCCGCTGGCCTTGTGGGCGAAGCGGCGGAAGTGCGAGTCACGGTACTTTTCGTGGTCTTTCAGCTCGCTGGCTGTTTTCTGCTTCAGGTCGTTGACGCGCTTCCTGATGTTGTTGATTTGCGCGTCGAGGTCGGCGATATAGGCGTTCTGCTGCTTGAGCTGTGAGGGCGCCGAATCTGTGTCCTCGAGGCCACGAAGGAGCTCCTCATTCCTCTGCGCTGCCTGCTGGATCTTGTTGTGGATGGACATAGTAAATACTTGCTATAATGGTAGTTTGTGAGTCGTGATGCGAATGCGATCGGAGGTAGCCTGATGCTATATATCTAGGAAGCAGCGAAGCACAGCCTACCTCTTCAACTCGTTCAGGCAAAAGATCATGGTGGTACCGCTTGGCAGTCGGCCTGACGGCACGAATACATGGCCTTGTCTTAGGCTATTGGGCGCCTGATTATGAACCAAACTGCTGTCCTTCCTCACGGTGGCTGGTGGTGTTGAAGCGGGGCAGATTCCAGACGTCATAAGGAGCAAGGCTGAGCTACCGTCCAATGCGGTCTAGTCGCATGTGGCGCAGGCGGCTGAGCCTCAATGCACTAAGGCGGCGTGGCAACGGCTATCTCGCGTTTTGGATATCATGCTGGAATCCGGGGTAACGACGATACAGTTGCAAACAGCAGCGTCTTCGTACAAGAGATGGTGAG